CCATCCCCCCCCCCCCCCTCCATATTTGAGTTCATTGCACCTTTGACATTGTCGCTCCGTAGCTACACTTAAAGTACCTTCGTAGTGTGGTGATCATTTCTTTTTTCACCACTTCAAACATATTAACTCTTTTTTTCCCGAGGTATAGTTCATTTTTGTCGTAAATGCCATTGATTTAAGTAATTAGTCACAATTGATGCTTATTTCATAAACGTCCAATTCCTGTGTTTCTTGACTTGTTATTGGCCACAGATAAGTTATAAATTGTAAAAATGTTTAACTGCAATTCATGAATCATTGGTGATATACCTGACGATACCTCCTTGTCCACATTGGCCTTTCAATTGAATAACTTTCACAATTTTTCCTTAATCAGTATCTATTTATTTATCTCTTTCTTTTTTATATTAGACAGTGTGGTCAGTTTATTATTATTATTACTATTATTATGGCGATGGTTATTATTTCAGAAGAAAATTAATTATTTGAGCTGTGCTCTTCCGCCACCTTTTCTGCCTTCAGAGAACGTGGTTTCGATTCCTGTTGGTTTATACCTAGTGGGTGAAATGGTTACTCGCACTGGTTGTTTGGCTGATATAGAGGGTGTTATGATTCGAGTCTCACTAGGGTGGTTCCATAATGTCTCTCTATCCCAAGAGATAGGAGGTGGCAAATAATTAATTATTATTGAAAATACTGCTGTTAGAATTTATCCTTTTGAGTTAAAATAAAGTTTATGGTTGTGGTAATTAAGCCCTTTGATCATGATTTAGATATCCTCGGAACTTTCTCTGCCTGATAAATGTAATGCCTCTAATTCGCTCAAATTCATTATGCTTATATCGAATTTAAAATCAATGCCCCCTGTTCTTGTTTTTTTATATTGCATGAAAAAGTATTGATTTTTTGCACTTTAAAAATTTGGCTGTTGCTTCTCAATCTCTCCTTATAAGTGATCTTTCAGTCTCCGCTAGAACTTCATATTATTTCTGGTATTACCTCTGAATTGGGATCTAATTTGTCTAATTTCGGTGAGCTAAGTTTCCCATTTACCTCTGCTCTCGCTCTCTTGCAATTCCATTTGCTGTTCCCTCGGCAACTGGTCAACCTCAAAGAGTGGTGCTCAGTTGTTTCATATTTTTGCAGGTTTGGCATTTTATAGTTTAAATAATGTTGGTTTATATTCATCGCTTCTTATCTCTCTCTCTCCCTCTCTCTCTCTTATTTCTAACTCTTTGGTTTGAGAAGCAAAATTACCACGATCGATGTAATTTAATTAAATGGTAATAATCTGCTAAAAGATTCTCTATACTCTATATTCCAAGGTATCCGTTTTTTTTTTGAATATTCGTCTCCGTTACAGGCGACTTTCGGTTGGTTTTAAAATGTAACTTCCGATTGCTTCACTAAATTATGATCGAGTATTCGATCAAATCCCCCCCCCCCAAAAAAAACTTTCATATATTTTGAAATTTAGCGTTTATTTTTTTATGATTGGATTGTGGGATTATATCTGTTTATCTGCACTTTGTAATTCATGCATTAGAATGCGACTGGGTTGCTAAATAACTCAATGCCTATGAATAAGTAGAACGTATCGTGCCTAAATTCCACACGACATGCCATACAACTTCTTAACTCATAAATCCTACCACATATGTGCCTTTAGTTTTGCTGATAAAGCACGTAACTGTTGAAAGTTGTGGTGGGCCATCGTCAAGTAAAGAAAAAATCTGTGTAATTGTTTTGTTTTTTTTTCACGGTGTGAGCAATCCCCAGAGGTTGTCTCTTTTCAGTTTTTCGACTTTAACTATTAGCAGTCTGGTGTTGTTTGGCTATATCGTCAGTAATATGGTGACAAATTCCAGTTCTACACATAGGCTTTGTTAACTTAATAAGTGCATTAGAGTAACTGAGTTCCTATTGCAGTTTATCAGCACCTAGTGGGCCCAAAGATCATAGCAGTAGAAAGCAGATTTCTTTTGATTGCAGTAGTACAGAGGAAGACTTACTTTGCTATTTCATTTACCTCTTGATATGCTATTCCTCTTTTAAAGGTGAACCAGAAGTCGATGCCAAACAAAATGGGAATAGGGAAAGGGATATTGAAGAGCGCGTTGGTGATTGCGCAAAGTATAAAGCACCACGAGTTCCCTTTGGCAAAGTCTGCGAAACCCTCGCATCTACCGTCCACTCAGACAGCTCTGTTCTCCTCCTCTACCTTCTACTTCATCGTAATGACCTCTTCCGTGCCTTTGTCATGGAAACACATCTATATGAGAAGTTTGTATGTCTCGTTTAACTTAACTTACTCTCCTTTCTTTTTAAGATATCCCATTGCAACACTTGCCTATTTTATTATTTTCATTTTAGGCCTTTCATATATGTCTGCTAATGTACCGATCTCCAGCGGAAAACTCCCATCTTATTTATATGGCTCTTATTGTTCTGCTTATTCTCACGGAAAATGAGAACTTTGCTAAGGACATTCATGAAATGGTAGGTGGCTTGCCTTATCCCTTCATTTGGGAATGTTGTTGAAGCTCTTATTTCTCGGGTAATTTTCGAACAGTAAGGAGATGATAGTGTGCCTTATTCCAATCTGAGAAACCGCTATTAGTCTCAAAAAGCATCGACAGCCTCAGAAGGGGATTTTTATTTTTTCTGTGGCCTAAGACCATTACTCTCATACCGTTCCACTTACTCTATTCCTTTCCCTCAAAATTTGCCCGCGTTAATTACCAAATTGCCTTTTATTATCGTGCTCTCTTTGGACACTGTTACCTAGCTTGTGGCATTGGAGTTCTTTTTCTAACTGTTGTGGTTAAAACTACTGAGTTCGATTTTAATCAAGATTATCGAAATAAGGCAGTTCTTTATCGACTCCTCTGTTATTACTGTCTCCGAGACAGCTTGAATTCGGTGTGTGTGCGCGTGTAGTTTTCATATGTGGACTTTATGCATCTCTAAGAAACCATTAAAATTTTAGACTAAATTGGTCCTAACACGATCTCTTTGTCATGGTTCGTGGTATATCAGCGGTATAGGCTAGGCGCCTTTTAGAAAGTAGCATAGAAATAGCTTGCACTTTCATTTGACCAATCACCACGTGGTGTGAAGGTAACTTCAGGATTTAAAAATATATCGAGTATTATAGGAGGCCTGGTCTGAATCAACCTCTACTAAGATACGTAATGCAGATATGGCATGGAAGTGTGAAGGAGCATAAAATGTGGCACTAAGAGTATGCGCGGTGAGAGGCAGTAGTCATCCTGGCCTATGGCTATAAGTCTCCAACTTGAGCTTATCTTATCAATTTCCAAACTGATCTTCTAGTTAGGCTTCCCTATTAGTCCACTTTGTGTGGAGGCATGCATTTCCATTTGGCTGGCTTTTTGTGGGCCTACTTCTAACATGCTTTGTGACTCCTGAGTATACTATTCCTCTTGTTTACGCTTTATTCTAGAATGCTTCTATATTGGTAAGACATGTTTGAGTACTGACTCTATGTACCAAAAAATCATATTCAATAAACGAAAGCCCTGAGAATTGCATGCGTGACGGAAAATTAAGTTTCTATTTATCTATACCCATTGCGGAATCAATGGATTTGAGTCTTGTCTATCAATTCTTGATGGTTTACCCATCTAATTACGTAATAATCCATCTCAATTTTTTTTCCATTCGGACCACTGGTCTCAAAGCTTTGAAACTTTAGAGATTTTTGTAGTATCTGCTTTCCGTCAAGCTAGTCACCCTTCAAGTTCTTCCATTTGTTCGAAAAGAGCATCAGATTGGCCTAAGCGTAATGTTGTGTATTGTAAACTACTTCCTTTAACGGCGGACTTGAAATTGCCGTCGTTCGTTCTGGGCGCTATAAATTAATTCTGAATCTGTTTTACTCATTAGCCGGTGAAAAAACTACCGCCAAGTGTTGATAGGCAATTGACAGGTGTGACACTAGGCGGTCTTCTAGTCCTGGTTCTCACGCGAACAATCCAGCACCATTTGAATCAACTCAGAGACAAGTATCTACATATTAACAGCCTTGCAGCCCTGGCCAATCTTTCACCTAAAATCACCAATCTCAGTCCCTATATAAGCCAGGCTCTAGTTGGGTAAGTAATCTGTTTTTTGTCCCCCCTACTAATTTTCAATCTTGATGCGAATTAAGTGGGGACAAGTGTTTATGATTATTTATTTATATCAAATGGCAGGCGTTTTGATAGTTATCACTAGCCCTTTAGTTGACTTCAGGCTTCACAGAGAGGAGTAGGAACATCAAAGAGACAAAAAGTCGAGAAGGGGAACAGAAGAGTGATTCACAGTTGTAAAAGAGACAGACAGACAGACACGAAGGCATAAAAAGGTAAGATGAGTACTGTGAAGGGGTCGAATATGACAAATAGTCGGGCCATAGTATTTTGAAGTCAGAAGTCAACTGCCGACCAATAGACGTTTTTGCCGTATAAGTATACGTTGCCCAGGGTGCACCTCGTGGAGGTAAGTCTATATTGCGCACCCCTGTCTATGATCATAGTGAGTCCAAGCTGATGCATATCCGATTCAGCCTGACTTAAATGGGGAGGGAGAGAGAGTGTGTGTATGTGTGCGCGCGCGTGTGAACGAGTTAAAGGGAATGCAGCAACTATCGCTTAGGCATGTGGTCAAAGCAACGATTTGTTTATTTGATATCTATTGACTCACGGGGAGTTTTTTAATTCACTATTGCTGTCGACTTTAATGGAGAGGCACCATGCGAGTTCTCGGTTTTTATTTGCTTTCTGGCTGTACTACGTGGTACGATTGAGTTCTGTAGCAGAGTGTATCCCCAATGGATACCCTTTTTAGTCAATTCTTTTAATTACTACATTATTTCCTCTTACTATTTTTTTAGTTTGGTGAAAGATCAGTCGTTTCTTTTTTATGTGTCTCTCTAAATTTATGCCTTCCCCCCCCCCCCCCAATTCCTTCAGCCTATTAGCATGCTTTGATTTTGTTTTAAACAGCCTTCTACAGAAATTGGTTAAGCGACATAAGCGTCTGGTGAATGAGATTCGAACTCTGAATGATCAGCTGAAGGAGCAGGAAAAGGCAAATGGACTCCCATCATCTTCTTCCCCTGAGGTTCGATTGAATATGGTGTCCTCTTCAGATGCTCTGGTAGGAATTCATGCTTTTAATCTTGTTGGCTCTAGAGTTTCCCATCTTATAATGAAATCGATGAGTCGTTTTCATTGCTAAACTTCGTATGTACCTTCTGCCTAGCGATAGTTAATATTGTTAACATATTGGTTACTAATACAAAGTACCCTTTAAAAAATACCTATTTGCTCTCCTACGTCATATTATATATATTGTCACTTTACGGTCATTGTAGGCAGTTTGAGGCGTTTGGAGATTAGACAACTCGGAGGTCTTGTTGTCAAATGCATGTGATGATTCGAAAGAAATCATGGCACAAGAAGAGTCTTTAATTGATCCTTTGAGAGATTGCATTTCGTTCATTATGGCACTCTGGGATTGTAATTTTACAGCTGACCGTATATCATTCAGTAGGGCTTTGGAATCGAGGCGCTTATTAGATTCTCTAAATACTTTTTTTGTTGTAGAAATTGTATACTTGCTGATATTTTTCTCTCTTGCAGTTACAGGACCTGTCCTTGCTGGAGGAGGTTATCCGAATGACACTTGAGATTTTCAATTCCATTCTGACTCACTCTCTCGCTCAGAATACTCACCTTGTCTACAATCTTCTCTATCAACGCGAATATCTCACACCCATCCATACGCATCCTTCATTCAGCGTGAGTTCCCTCCGTAGTCTAATCTCTTCTCCCTGTCTTATTTTGTTTGCCGCCTCACTTCTATCATATGTGCGCGCGCATGTTTATGCATACATTATTTATGGTGAGGCAGCTTAGTCAAAAGTCCCCCCCCCCTCCTCCTCCTCCTCCTCCAATGACAAAATTCACTTGACATATATCATTGTGGGGATGGGGGCGGCGGCGGCGGCAGGGGATGCTATTATCTATGTACTGTTAATATGTGTGGTTTGCCACAGTACCGCTGAAGTTTGTGAATCGTGGCAAAAGCGCACTTGAAAGCCGGTAGTATCATTTTGTCATTAGTGTCTTCATGGTTTGGACGCTAGATGAGAGGGGAGGGGGAGGGGTTAAGGCCTGGTTGTGATTTCTTTTGCCTGCTATCTTTTTTTGAACGAAGATTTATTCCCATTTGATGATAAATGAGGGGTTGTAACGATCTATCGAATGCAAAATTTTGCCTGTATGCTCGCTCTGTTTTACTTATCATCTGGTTATTTTATTGATTTCTCATCTGATGAACCAAGGGTGGATCACAGTGCATCTTATCTTGGCATGGTGTATTTGAGCCGTTTGGTGACAATCAGATTTCTTTTCATCTTAGGTTATTGCTTACCCCCTCTCCCCCCCCCCCTCCTACCTTCTCTTCTCATTTTTATTTCCTCTTTCATTTTCCCTCTTTTGTCCTGCGGTGAGCAACTAGCACAGAGGTTTGGGGATTGCTATCATATAACTATATTTGGTCGTTTCTTAAAGTTGTGTTTGGGGTGTTCACACGCTATGCTCGATCTAAAAGTTTAAAACCTTCTTCATTCACGTACTTATTGACAGCACAAATGAACGATGGCTAGAACCCACTTGCATCATGGATGAGAATAACTTATATGATTATTCGATCTGGCCAACCAATCGCGAGTTCTTTCTCAACGCTGTGAAAGCGCGCAATTCACGCATGATGTCGGGACTACGAGGCCGCGTTGTTCCTAGGATAAGGCAGTAGAACACACGATCTGATCTGCATAGCAGTGTTTCAAGACCGATGAGACTATCAAATTTATCCTGAAAAGGTTTCGATCGCCATTTGAGTCGCGATAGCCTTCTTACCAAATGTTCGAATAAACGCCCCCCAATTGGCTTATTCTCATAATAGAAATATATTCTTTGCGTGAAGCTTTAGCGTTTTAGCTTAAATTTAGCCTCGAATTCGATTGTGTTTCGATTCTTTTATTTCGTCAAATTTATTTACTTTTAAGCGTTCTTATGTTGTGGCCGATCAAATAGTATAAATTAGGTTATATCTTTGTTTTTTTTATTATGAGTTTCCTACACAGCATGCGACGCATTTATTGCATACTTCTCTGATCTCAGCCTATGACACATTTCCTGATTTGCAAGCTGTTTATCGATTTTCGCCCACTCTTCACATGCTACTTGTTGAGTCTCACATTGCTCCCCCAACCACTTTTCAGTTTACCTGTTTCGAAGCGCTCACCCCCTCCTTCCTGCTCTCAATGCATCTCTTCCACATCTTATGGTAGTTAAGCTCAAAACAATTAGATTAGCAGTGACTTTCTTTGTTATGCGTCAATGACTCTCGGGTGGAAACCTCTTTGTCCACTAGGCCACTCCGTCACATGCGCTTAACTAGGGTATATAGCGCCAAAGTTGGGAGTAAAATAGAATGATTTGAATGTCACATCGAAATCGAGGTGTGGATTTAACGCTAATTTGCAAATCGCATTAGAATAGGCGGCCAATATAATTTTATTGGTCAATTAAATTGCAGTTTAAATCAACGCATACAAAAGCAAACGTGTGAAGCTACTTCATATCAACTAATGACAATTTTATTAAAATTATAAAAGGTGTTTTCGTATCGAATTTGCCATGTTGCACTGTGTTGTTATCCTAAACGTAACATCCACCTTTTCTCGTTTTGTTCTAAACAGGATTTAATGCAGAACATAGACACGGTTTTGGGCTTCTTCGCTTCACGAATCGAAAAAGAGCTTGGTCCCCAGCCCACCGAAACGTCAACAGTGATGACTGTGATTACCAAATCAATGCCCGATTTTCCACGAGCTCACACTTTGAAAGAATTCCAGGAGCTTAAATTCAAATACGTGGAGGAAGACTCTCCAGATGAATTTTTTATACCTTATGTCTGGTCCTTGGTCTACCCACATGCTGGCCTAGCGTTTGAGGCCAAATCACTCATTTCATTTGGGTGCTATGAATACTGTGGAAGTGAAGAGGAGGAGGCAGGCACTAGTGCCTCCTTATACACTGGCTCCGCTGCCACCAGTGTAATGTTGGGAAATGAACTGACTAATCTCAATATCAATGCACCATCATCAGTACAATAGATGATAAGAGATAACTCTTGCTTCCTTTTCTCTACCCTCCTTTTTCCTCTTATTGTATTCACGTGCGTTATAAAGTCTTTCTAACTGAAGCTATTGCGCTACTGCGATCATTTGTGAATTATATCGCCCTCCCCCCCCCCCACTTAATTAGCCTATTGCTGTGTATCTTCGGCACCCGTGTAGTTGTCTTCTTCACTTACCTACACTTTCTATATTACATTTTGTGTGTTTTGTAACTTGTTTAGACGCAAGAGTGCTTGTGCGTAATGGGCCAATTCTTTTATGCAGAAAAATTTAATACTGTTATCTAATGCGAATGAAAGGCTTGTTTTTTCGGATAGGTCTTAAGCGCGTTCGGGGTGTAGGAATGAGTCGTGGTCGGTATGATCGCTCGAAGAACTTTGAGTGGTCTGCTAATATCGTCATTCATTTACGACTATTGGGGATGGTAGTGTTGCTCCGATTCTGGGAATCTGCAAAATCACAGGTCACTCTTAGGCAGGGTGGGTTAATAAAGCATTCATTTGTACAGGTAATTATGGAGTATGTTTGAAAATTCGAGGTCGTAAATATTGGAAATAAAAAATACGTAATATTAAACACCTATATATTGTGGCCTTTGTCAAGCTTATAAGACCGCCGCGGCACTCAAAAAGCGTCACAATATTTCGATATGTAATAAATGTAATGGTATTACTATGAAGTAAAAAACCCTAAATTGTTACTAAACGCTCGTATATATGTACAAATATTAAATGTTTGATTTAAAATATATAAGTAAGAATGAAAGTGGCTTAACACGCTATTTATTTTTGTCGTAAAAATTTATAACATTAATAAAATATTATTTACTTTTTAAGTGTATCATTTGCGAAATAGTAACCTGCACGACCTTGGCAAGTTTAATTAGTACCTTGGTAGCGTGACTTGTGCCGCTGGTTGGTGGTTTTCATTTTATAAGATAAAATAGGATATTTGGAACATAACTGTCCTTCCCCATCATTTTAGATCCGAAAGAGCTGAAAATGCAATCTCTTTATTTTCGACCAACAGTTCCTATTATTCCGTTCCAGCTACCCGGTGTACTACCCCCTCATGGTAAAAAAGAGCCTTTTTTGTTATACCATCTAGTTGATTTAACTCAAGAGGAGGATTTGGATTCTGTTTCCTTACAATTTCAACAAAAAAGGTTTTATGTGGATGTTAAGAAAAATCGACGTGGTCGTTTCATGAAGATAGCTGAGGTAAGAAATAATTTGTTATCCAATTTCACTTTAAAGGTTGGTATCGATGGTAGAAAATCAAGAATTCTTCTTACAATGACCGCTGCTGATGAGTTGAAGGAACAAATACTTGATCTTGCAAATGCCTATGATGAAATCACTGTTAAAGAATCTGAGCAAACACAACAAACACCAGATTCTGCTAACACCGATGGTGTTGTCAAATCCCATACCCTTAATTATCCTCATCGAAGGTACTATTTGGATCTTAAGAAAAACAATCGAGGATATTTCCTTCGAATAACTATGATTTCCTCAAACGCTCGAATCAAATTAGCCATTCCAGCCGAAGGTATGAGAAAATTGTACAGTTCAATATGCAGCATGCTCAAAACTTGGTGGGTTCCTGTTCCAGAGCAGACTAGCACAGGTTTGTTATTATTTTGCATATTTGTATTTTTAGAAGTTAGCCTTCCTCCATCTAAAGCCTTCCGAATCGACAATCGTACACTCTACTTTGACCCCGTTGCTAATAAACATGGCGTATTCTTGCGTATTTCCCAAGTATGGGCTTCTAGCCGTTCCGCGATAACAATTCCCGCTCAATCCATGAATAAATTCAGGGAAATTATTAATGAATTTGCTGATCGCATATCTGCATCTACAGTATGCACTACTTTGGTATATTTAACTACTATCTTCCCCTAGATTGACGACAAGGAGAATCAGCCTGAGGGGGAGGAAATTCCTGTCAGTGTTGCCGAAACAGAACCCTTGGAATCCCAGGATAATGACTCAAGTCACCAGGGAACCTCGATCTGAAGAAAGACAGAGTTCAACAATCATGTATCATGATTTTCTACCTTGTATATCAAAAGACGCAAATTGGAAAATAATATTTGTACTAATAAGATTTGCTACTTTCTCCACCATGCGGTCTGAGTTGGCAGTTAATTACTCTTCAAGTCAACTTTTAAACTATTTGGGAGTGTTTTCTAATTGTAGTAATGTTTTTATGTTGGAATTAATGTAGCCCTAATGTGGTAAATGTAGTTATTTGCCTACTGTGTTTGATGATCGTTGGTTATCATCTGAACTATGTTTGTGAAAATTTTGAATTAGAACCTACAGACATCAGAATACTTTTTCAGGTTTTCTACGTGAGAGGTTACGATTTAAATGGGAAATAAACTCTGGTCTTACAAGTTTGATTCAAGTTGATCACTATTTATTCTTGTATGTAGTTGGCTACTTCATAACTTAGTGTTCCGATAGTCATTTTAGGCATTCATTCAGGCATTTTAATTCCTGTTAAGTTGTATTTGCAGAGTTCCAGTTGATTAAGTAAGATAGTTGATCAATCGTTTCAGACGTGAGCAAGTTCACTCAAGTGGAACATTGGCAATATAAGACCAGTGAAATCCGATAAATGTGACTAAAAAGTGACTTCGTAACTCTGTTTCTTCGTACATGACAAAACGGGTTTTTACTTTATTTATTCGTGCTCAAGTCCGCAGCTAGCTACTTTTAGGCTGGAATAAGGGGTCATCACAGTTCAGGAGCTTCGACCGACCTCCTAATTCCACTTAAAACCACTTTTTTTCTAAATTTGATCGAAGGATCGAATTCTTGGTTTCGGGTATAGGTAAGTTTGGAAAGACTATAACTTTATGAACAGGAAATTTATAGAAGATGTGTGTCTTTTGTGAATCTCCGAATTGTCTCCTCTTAATCCCTCTCCTATTGGGGCTTGGAACAAAAAATATATAAATTTTATCACCGGTAGCATCTTAAGGAAAGGTGATAGAGCAAAAGTAGAAATGGTTTGGTTGGAAATCAATATAGTCAAATGCGATTTGACCTATAAATCCGATTTTAACCTTTTCCTCTGTTTGAGTAATGAATTCTTATTCGCCTGAATAATGCCATTTATTCTCCTCAGATTAGTTCTACTTCCAAAACGCTAAAGTTAAAATAGCTCGATTGAACTAATGCTTATTCACTGTCCTCGGTATAATTTGATCGATGATCACATGTAATTAACCAATCACTCGAACAGATTTTTGTTACTTTCAAGTGAAATTAAAACTTTCTCGGCTGTATAACACATTTACCCGCCAGTTGCTGCGCTTTTCAACAAGGATACTTCAGAAACATGGCATATGAATAGCAGGTCACAGTAGGCCGTGATCACCTTATGCCAAGTATCTATTGGTCCATTACTTGACCCAATTCTCTCTCTTACTCCCCCTCCCCGTTGTCTGACTTACGGTAACATATCTCATAAGAATAGGCTGTCCATGAGCTACAATAGGAGTAAGACGCTTTCAGGGAGCCCCCCTCATTCTCCCCATCTTCCTAACCCACCCTCTTTCTTCACTTGCGTGCAGATTATTTTAATATTTAGAAAATTTTCCTGATATCGTATAAATATTAATTCGGAGATGAGTCCCCATAACATGGCACTTTTCAAGACTAAATGCACTCACCTTTGTACTGAATTTGGGGAACCATTTTTTGGTCACCACGCGCTACGTAATTCATCCCAATTGGTCAGGCGATTGTAATGACATGATCGGACATATCTGCCCATTTTTTTCAATTCGTCGCAAGATTGCAGTAAAAATCGTGTCAATGAGATGGAAAACATTACATTATGATGAGTCTAGATCGACTTTACTACTCATTAGATAGTTATTTGTTCAACTATATATTAGCGTTACATATTGCCTTCGCCGTAATAGAGTACAATTATTACTATTCTTATGGAATAGAACTAGGCCACAATTGAAGCGTACAAGGTTAAGATTTTTGTATGGATTAATCAAATTGTCTCTAGTAGAATGAAAATCGAACATTGTTGAGGTTCTAAGCAGAATTAGAAAAATTACTGTGAATCCAGTTGGATTTAATGGTCTTTCCCAATACTGCTTTTCTGTGTGATTGAACACGCTATTTATTGTCAACCAGTAAATACAACAATACTCTCTATCCTATTTGTTCTTCAAATGTTACCGAAGGACGGCTTTTGTGGGGCTAAGCGTCTTCGGTCTTTATCTGAAACTGGGTTATCGTAGGCATGGGGTGACAGCCCAATTTATATAGGTGAACTCACCGTCATTATGGCGCCATTTATCCAGTCAGTTTAAGCACTTAGGTAAATGAGTAGTTTGATAAAAATTTGATAAAGTCATTTACATCCAGCTGTTACCAGGGTCGAAGTTAATATATTTAAAGCAAATTTAGGAGTGTTAGAACCGATATTAAAGAAAAGAAAACGCAGGCATTAATCTGTCAATCAAATACCATTAATTAACATATTTAATTATTTATATCGGATGGTGAGCTTTATGATGTTTATCATTAGCCCTCTAGTCGACTTCAGGCTTCAGAGAGGGGAGGAGCATAAAAGTCACAAAGGTCGAGAGGGGGAACAGAAGAGTAATTCACAGTTGGAAGAGAGGCTGATAGGAAAGTAGAGAAAAATAGGTAAGGTGAATACTGTGGAAATAGTCGAATATGACATACAGTGGGGTGATGGTAGTTTGAAGTCAGAGGTCAACCGCCGGTTTAACGACATTTTTGCCGAATGAGTATACGTTGCCCAGGCTTCACCACGTGGGGTAAGTCTATCGCGCAGCCCTACCCCCCCCCCTCCCCCCAATAATGATCACGTGTTTGCCCTTATTTTCAAGGCTTGTTTCACTTCTTATTTTTTAGCTAATTTAAGCACGTAAATGATTCGCTGACACTTCAATGATCTCCTCTTCTCCCTTTACTTATCAGGAGCAGCTGAGTAAAGTGGAAAATCGAGTCTCCAAACTTCACGCCAATTAGCGCTAGGGACTAGTTACTAATCGTACTTGGGAGAAATCATTTCAAATTTCCCTTTCTTCTGGAACATATTCACAGCCATAACCAACCATAATCTGGTACAGTCTTGAATGTACAACCTTTAAAGCCGAAGTAGTAATAGTTGGGAGGTATTTACAATCTTTTATTTAAATAATGCTAGAAACAGATAATATCTTCTTTAGGATTTAATAATTTCAGTATTTTATCGTAAGGGGATTCATGAGAAAGATACTACCACCACATTCGGAGCAAAATTGGTCCTTGGGTCACATGGTAAATTAGTTTCATTTAAGGTAAAAATAAATTGAAATTTTTTCGGTTAAATGCGCAGATTAAGTATAATTAAGAAATGCTTAAGTTTTGAGCATTCTGCACAATAATTCACCCTGCTAGAATGCATAGATCACGATTTACGAGCAGAATATTCCTTTATTGGTGTCAACATGAAGAGTAACCCCCTAGGGGAAGCAAGTTGCTTGTGTAAATAAACGACTGTTTACACAGATTTCAGTCTTCCGATTTGGGTCGATTGAAGCAGACCAACAAAAGAAAATTCGTACCAAACAATTTCTTGTTAAGTGAGAAACATTTGCCACTCACTGAAATTCCTCCGATGGGTATCAAACCCATAACTTCCTACTAAACAAATATGTACACCAACCTCTTCGCTAACAGTAAATACACCCATATTAACTATTTTTTAAAACAGAAATTCACTACCCACTTGCTAGTTATCATTTCATTCAAGATTTGCAGTAAAGAAAACGCATCACAATGACGATAGAAAAACACTAATCCCCAAATCTATATACTTCACCCGTTAAATAGAGAAATCTTAATATCAACATTCAAAAAAATCACAAAATATAAAGAATATTTACAAAATCTAGTACTTAGTCATCAAAGGCGTTAGACTCATACTTCTTTCTTGACTGTCTGGAGAGATACTTTTCCTTTTCACGTTGACTCAGTGATTTAAGCCTTTCCTGCCTCACCTTCTCCCTCAATTCGCCTAAAATTTTAAAGAAATCATTAATGTAACTTGAAAGCAGAACAGATTGGTGGTAAAATATAGTGTAGAGTAAGGCTTACTTCTTGTGAGGAAGGAAGCGCGCTGACCAGCCTTGAGCTTCTCCATTTGCTCCTTCTGAAGATTAAGCTTAACCCTTCGCTTAATCTCAATGTCCTTCTCTGTAGCTTGACGCTGTTTAAGAATCTTGATAGCTTTCATAATCTTTTCCCGTGACTCACTAGATTTGACCTTTTTAAGATCTCTCTTCAATTTCTAAATAAAAAAGGTTAAATAAGTGAAGTCTAAGCAAAATCGGTTTCGCTAAGTAAAAAGAATAAAGGGAAGGATAACTAGTTGATTATAAAGAATTCGAAAAACTGCATGCCATTAATAGAACGGTAAAAACAAGTAGAATAATTGTGAAGCAAGTAACGGTAAAAGATCACTCATCAAACAACATTAGATTCATAAGAGAACAGACATACCTTCAACGTTTCTTCCCTTTCTTCAGATAAAACCTTCCAATCACTAAGAACACAAACTCCGTTTACTCTAGGATCAAAGCGAGGATCCCTAAAATGATTCCTACGCCTAGCATCGCTTTTTGCTTTAACATTTTCCTCCTTTAAGGAAGTTGTAAGTGCAAATTTATTCTTTTTAAGCTGATTGAAAGGTATGACCACGGGCTCATCATCTAACGACTCGTCCAACCGACCCGGCATCGTTGCAATTAATAATAACGAAAGGCAATTGGAATTGCTTGAATGATGTTGAACGCTTTCTAAGTTCATTAAATTCCAATTATAAAATGCATAAATTTCAATTAGATGTGGCAGAATATTTTCATGAATTCTCATTCAGTTTCAATTTTTGTTAATCAATATACCATCTAAAATTCTCCAAATATTTGGTTCCATTTCATTAAATGTGGAATCAGTTTGGTGAAATAAAATGCGTTTTGTGCATTCCTACTTTTTTAATTTCCACTTCTACATTTTCCAACATCCAATATTTGAAATTTGACACAACATTGTTTCCTCAATTCGACTTCGTCGAAGTTAAGTCAGTAGATTTGGGACTGCTAATTACTATCAATATTTACTTTTGTCTAGTATTATTAATTTCTCCTTGATACCTCGATAAAAAATTTTGATTGCTAAATATGAGAACGAATTACCTGGAGAAATCTGGTCACTCGTTATCGAGACTTATGAATTTATATTTAAAATAGATATATGAACACATTTGACTTTACCCTTGATATTTAGTTTTTTCCAACATATATATATATATATATATATATATATATATAACTAAAATTGTCAATACAATATCGTCCCTGTAATTGCCTAAGCTACTTCAACACCATTGAATAAGCTTTGCTTATGGTGCAAGTAAAGTTTATTTTTGTTATGTTATATCAGAACACAATTTTGACTACGCTGGTTATTCTTTGTCTGAAATGTCAACACATTTTCAATGTCACTTTATATAACGGGTTTAACTATTCGTGGCTAAATTGAGATTGTTCGAGTACCCATGCTTCAATGGCCTTTGATATCGATGAATTTTTTTAGCCATAAAGACGTTATTTCGCTTCTTGAAAATGAATATGATAATAATGGGAGACCTTGAATTTAATTTAAACTTTCTCGAATCCCTGCGTGCAAAATGGCAAGCAGCTTTATTTTGTGATACCCTGAATCACATTTAACTAGTAATAATGATTTTGAATACATTCAGGTGAGTCGACTGATGTGATGATCTCCATAGTCTGAGGTTGTGGTATGATTGCTTATGACCAAAATGGTCAAACGGATTCGTTCATAAGGAAGGTGGGGAATTCAACTTTTCATCAGCGAGACTCTATGATGTTATTCATCTGGACGAGATGTGTTTTATGAAACATTTTTTTGTAAATGGGCTTGGGATTAAATTGTACATACTCTAAGCCAAGGAGAACAATTAAAATAATTTTTTCTTTCACATGTAGAGTCAATTCAAGGACGTATCTGTTGAAGAAACAGTAGTTGTTGTTTGAATCCTTAAATGATTCCAACACTGACTTTTTGTAAGTTCATTTCATTTTGAAATAAGCCTTTTGAGATACAGAAAATTAAATTTAGGTCATAATAAAGTAATAATGCACTTAAGCAAAAATCTGAGTATTAATATATCAACTAGGATTATAATGTTGATTTGACCATTTACAACACCGGATGTGCACCCATAATAATAATCAAAGCATTCCATATCTTAAACGAACATGCTATTATAATGAAGTACAATTTTTAAAAGTGCACGATCGATAGATAGGTTAGGGGCGTAGCCAAGACGTTGTGGAAAGCAATAAGCTAACAAAATGAGCTTACAAATTTGGTTATTTAATGGTACTGCACCATTCAAGCAAACGCACTTTCGTGTTCACTCTGGGAATGCGACTCATTCACCTATCTTGGGTTAATTTTGAATACCAGGGCCATTTCATTCCATAATATTATCGTGTCAGAATTCTTTTAGATGCTATAAACCAACATAGTTTCCTAATTCAGTATTTTCAATAGTTTAATCAGGTGCTTAAAATAGATTTCCCAACACTGCGTAAATAAACCCACTTGATTTGAGAATTTTTACATTTGTTCTAGAATAATTAAACAATTAATTAAACGATTTTCAGTTATTTTTTCCTCGGGTTTCAATTGAATTAATTATGTAAACTTTATATGAAATCTAAAAGCCGAAAATCTCAGTTTATACCTTTCTATCATTAGGCAAAAGTCAAGCCAAGTAAAGTTGACTCCATTACCTTCTTCAGTTCTGTAACCGTATAAGTTAACTTGTCTTTTCTCGATGTCCACAACTCAGAAAATGCAGAAAAAATGCATTTTTGTTAATAAAGCACCAAGACTCACTGCATGTGCCCTTCAATCACCACCAAAACAAAGTCCCCAAGTATTTCAGGATATTAATCGAATTGGAGCCTGTTAACCCGCGATTGATTTGTCTTCAATTTTAAGTCCCATCTTAGAGATAAAAGTTTGAGAGTATTTATTTCAAATGGCGGGCGTTTTGATAGTTATCATTGGCACTTTAGCTAACTTCGTACTTCACAGAGGGGAGTAACATCATAGTGAGAAAAATTCGGGAGGGGAAAAGAAGAGTGATTCACAGTTGCAAAGAGGGAGATGGAAATAAATGCAGAGGAAAGGTAAGATGAGTATTGTGGAAGGGGTCGAATATAACCAACAGTAGGGTCATAGTAGTTTGAAGTCAGAAGTCAACTGCCGAATAATAGAGTTTTTTGCCGCATGAGTATATGTTGCCCAGGATGCACCACGTGGAGGTAAGTCTATCGCGCACCCCTTGTTTGGGAGTTAAAGATTAAAGAAAACTTTAAAATAGGATGGAGGTTGATATATTAAGGAAAAATGGGAATAAATAGAGCCTCTATCCCTATTCATTTCTAATTCTGAAAACCCACATTATCGAATTATTTTCTTTTAATCGTACCAAATAATACATTCCAGCCTACAAACTTGGGCCATTTCTGATTGGCTAATAGTGGATAAGCGGATCATTTAAGTTGGCCACTAAGATGATAGTTTCTACTATGACTGCAGTAGTTACTGTAAAGCATCTGCGTAGGCCTTGCTTCAATAAAAGAATTATCTGCACATTCGGTACTCCCCAAACTAATATTTTAAAACTTCATTTTTGTTCTTGCTGCCAGTTTTAGACTTTTGTCCTATGTGTATACGTTGCTCAGGGTGCACCACGTGGAGGTAAGTCAATCGCTCACTCCATTGAACCACCAAAGCACATCGGCGTAATGACCTCATCCATGCTTGCGTGATAACACCACAGGCCTAATGTAAAATACTATCTAAGTACGTCCTAAAATAGGTTGGTATGCTTTTGTCTTCTAACCACGAATAATATTTGTCCACATGTGAAACGATAACATTGTATTGGGTCTATCCAATTTTGTTCGATTCTGAACAATGCTTGAATTCCAATTTGCTTGAAATAACGATAAATTAAATCCAATTTTCCTTAAAATATCATTCAATGTTCAGTTAATGCTATTTAGTTACCATCAGTTTTTAAAATATAAGTTTAGCCATTTTTTGTCAAAAAAAGATTAGTGATGGTGGAATAATGCCATTTCAATATCAGAATGAAGATTTCCTGAAGTTCAGCTGATAAAAACGGGAGATATCAACTTGATAAATCCAAATGATTTTATCAAAGTTGACAACCTTAATAATTTCTTTTTTCTACAAAAGTACTAAACAAATGAATTTGTATTGGAGAAGAAAGTCTATGTTGAATGAAATGAATAATTTTGATCCAAGAAAAGTAAGCCAATAACATATTATAAATGATTAATAACATTTTAAGTATCGTTAAAATATGCTAGATCATAGAGTCGTTGTCTTGCGTAGTTTTAAGTTAAGTATTTTCCCTTTAATATCAAGCTGTCTGATTTATTTATATATTTTAGAGACTAATTGGATTATGGCGGAAAAATACTTTCAAAAAGAGGGATGTCTTGGTGATATGTGGAATCTTGCTCCGTCACAGATAATCCTTTCCACTTCACTTCAATTGTTTTCGTCGAAAAAATTTAGAAAAAGCAGAATTGTTTCGGGTGATTGTGAGCAAAAATATATGATTCTGACATAGTAGAGTCGAGATAGCCAAAACTTTGTACCTACTGGATTTTGTGCACACAACGGGGTAAAGTATTCGATATGGGAGGAATTGAGAGTTAGCAGACAAGTTTGTGACCAAGACCTTAACTTGTAGAGAGGGAGAGGTAGAGTGTGTGTGTGTGCGTGTGCGTGTGTGCGTGTACGTTTAGGTCGACAGTCAGACCAGCATATGTAGTCTAGTTGCCAATATTACCTATCCTTCTGCTAACGTCTACTCTCGTACAACTTAACTTGAAGAATGAGTGAGCTGCAAATTACTAAATAATAGTTTATTTATTTATTTCAAATGGCAGGCGTTTTGATAGTTATCATTAGCCATTTAGCTGACTTCGGGCTTCACAGAGAGAAGGAGGAACGTCAAAGTGTCAACGAGTTGAGAGGGGGGGGGGACAGAATAATGATTCACAGATGTAACAAAGACAGACAAAACGGCAGAGAAAAGGTAAGATGAGTACTGTGGAAATAGTCGAATATGGCATAGAGTGAGGTGATGGTAGTTTGAAGTAAGAAGTCAACTGCCAGTTTATAGACCTTTTTTTGCCGTATGAGTGAACGTTGACCAGGGTGCACCACATGGAGGTAAGTCTATCGCACACCCCCTTATTTTAAATTAAATTGTGGTTTCTTTTATTCTCTTGGAGTGAATTCTAGTCCTGATTGTTTACTGTTTATAGATTGATAGATTAGCCTGAATGGCTTTTATTATCATTTTTTACATTTTTCAGTAAATGATCCAGAATCTGATTTAGATGAATTTAGCATGTTGGTGGAACTATTTCGTTAGTTCAGCTATAAGTGGACCATATTTCATTATATATGATCTACTTAATTTTATATTGTGTCTTTACCTAAGTTTAATACTTTAATATTTTACAATATGCCATCAAAAAGTTTTTGAAGAGTGCTACAGGGTCTTAATACGCTTTATTTTGTAGACTTATATGGCACAACACTCATTTAACAGAAATTTTACATTAAAAATCCAAAATCTATGATTTTTGCCCCCG